TTAAATACTGTTCCACAGTACATTTTTTTGTATTTATTGTGAAATTTTGTAGCTGTTGTTTTCTGCGCTTCACAAAATCAGACAACTGTGATCTCTACCTGAAAAAGTCTAATATCCAAGGTTACAATTTTGTGTATGTATCAACATAGGAAGAAAACTATGAAATTCCGTTAAAGGAGGTTCTGTGTTGAATCTCTGTTGAAGGAAGTTCTATGTTCAAAGAGAGGTTTTGATCTTTCAGCTACAACTGATAGTCTGTGAAACAGGCAGAAATGATGTATGTTGAAAAAAGCAGAGAGCAGTAAGCAGAAGGAGAATGATAAAGAAGGAAAAAATGGTTCATTTCCTGTGTTAGAAAAGTGGGGAAAAAAAACACAGATAAAATGGTGAGTTACTTTGTCTTTTCCCTTCCTTTCTTTCTTTTTCCACTTTATGTTTAAATATGTTCTTGTGCAACGTTTTATAATTCATTCTTGTTTAATATGAAAAATATTGAGGAGAATCTGCATTTCTAAATTTCACCACAAAAACTCGCATTGCCAGATTGTCTGCAGCAATAATTTGAGGTTGTTGTCTGGATCTGAGTGAGGCCTGAGTGAATTAGAAGAGTGGATTTTCTCAATACAGTGCTTTTACAGAAGCAGCAGTGGAGAAAATTTTACTTCATTTCTATCAAAAAATCTCTTTGCACAGTTTATGTGTTCATGCAATTACGAATGACTTATTCTAGTATGGTATCTAGATATAAGTGATTTGCTTTCTTGATTCTGCCTGGAAATGTGTTACTAGAAGCAAAACATTTGGGAGGAAGACTAATACATTTTTTCATAGTGTTAAAAGATCTGGTGCTTCATAACTTTGTTGCAAATTATAATTTGGTCAGGAAATCAGACGCAATACATTGTAGAAGTTAAATGTGGAGCAAGTTTGAAGAAAAACATTAAATAAAGATGTCTTTAAATGTGATTGTAAAATAGTTATTTTATATTTGAAGCCACATGTTGAATCCCATTCCATTTATCCTCTCTTCTTTATTTCACTTTTAAAATTTTATTTTGGCTCTGTTTGGCAATAAAAGGGACATTTTGAAAAAGGTCGGTGATTTGCAGAAGAGGAGTTTAGTGTGTACCAACTCTTGTGTCTCATATTTGTGCTAGGAACTCCAGTGTTCCCCTGTTGGCACAGCTGTGATTACAATAGGCTGCTGAGCTTATGTGTGGCAGTGTCTTTCTTCTTATAATCAAGAACACATTTGCAAATGAAACCCAGGGGATGAAGGAAAGAATGCTAGGGGAGATACAGTTAAAGACTTCTGAATGGAAGCTCTTTGAAAGGCATACAACATAGTTAATTCTTTATTTCAGAAAGAAAATTTATAAGTCCAGTTGAGTTCTGATGAGTGCATTTTCTGTATTGAGGCTGTGATTTAGTCACTATGTAAGACTGATTGCTGAGCGCCAATCTTATTTAATGGTTTCTGAGGAGTTTGGCAGCTCGCTTATTATCTGCTTGGACCAAGGGTCTCTGCGAACTTCTTTCCCTAGAAGGTTCTTTAGCTTGGAATGATGCTCCAAGACCATGACAGAGAAAAGGGAATTATTAGTAGTGAAAATCCTGTCAGTCTTCCCCATCCCAAAATAAATGGGGTGGGAAATCTGTATGAGCCTCGGAGAAGGAAACCTGCCTTTGCATGAACAAGAACCTGTAAGAGTACAGCTTTCATTTTCGCTATTTTCTCTATAGATGTTTTTGCTCTTGAAAATTACCTGCCTTTCTTTGATCCATATGTAGAATTAAATCTTTGGGAATATAATAAAATGTGTTAACCAGCAAGCAGTTCAGAGCTTAATAGGCTATATGTGCATAACCCAAATAGGCATTTTCTATTTTAAGTATGGATTATAAATGTATATTAATTTTAATGATTGTCACACGCAATGGAAAACAGACTAATAATGTGACACAATCTAACAATTCTTTGTAAGGGAAAAAAAAATGAGGCATGTCAGACAACTTCTGACATTTTCCCAAACTCAGTATTTTTTTTGTAATCTTAAATGCTTACCTCTGCAAGATTAGGAGCTGTTCTATATCATGACTTTAATGAGGACAGACACTTGCTTAGATTCAATAATCAAATTCTCTATAAATACACCCAGTCCAAATGGCTTCAGGTCTCCAGAGGTCTGTGAGGGGCACAGTCAGGCACTCCCCTTTCCCGTGTTTTCCAGGTTGGCAGGCACACATCTACATTCAAAATAGGAGACACAAGTGCAACTGGAGAGCACAGGGTTTGGGTTTCCAAGGCATGTGCTGAGTGATATGTCTTTGGAGTTGGGCATTGCATTTGTAGGGTGGGACAGAGCCATCCCCAGCAACTGACCACAACAAACTGAACCTGGGGAGAAAAGCCTACTTGCTTGGAGTAGGTTGACTATTTTGGTGGTCTCCTGCTTGGGTGGAGAAAGGCATAAGCAAGCTTCCAAGCCTCAGCTGCTATCTAGGGAAGACATGCAGCTTGGGTGAAAAAAAAGAAAGGCCCTGATGGAACAGGGGCTTCAATCAGGCATGGATATCCAGAAAAATTTCTTCTCAGAAGGAGTGGTGAGGCAGTGGCACAGACTGCCCAGGGAGGTGATGGAGTCACCATCCCTGGAGGTGTTCAAGCAACGTGGAGATGTGGCACCGAGAGACATGGTCACTGGGCATGGTGGGGATGGGCTGGAGTTGGACTAGATATTCTTAGATCCAACCTTAATGATTCTGTGATTCTGTGATTCTGATGCCTTGGTGTAACTGTATGAAGTGGAGCAGGTAGTCCAGGGAGGTGATGGAGTCTCCATCATCATAGATACTCACAATCTTGGACTCAAATACGTTTTCTTCATTCAGCATATATGAATAAAGAATGTACTGTTGCACAGGTCTACAAGAAGTTATCTATAAGAAGTGCTTTGCTGTTTTGGTTTTGTAATTTCTGTAAAATTATCTTGTTAGTATTTGGATAAAATATTTTATTAAAATGTCAACTAAAAGCAACTACAATATGTTAAAGTGCATAACTTAGTTCCAGAACTTGTCATTGTTTATCTAGAGGGTCCATGATGTTCTGTCCAGACAGTGCAGGGTCTCTGTTTAAAGTCTTTTGCGAATGACCAGTTTAGCCCATTACTGTGGAGCTCCATATGTTCTGTTTATGGATGGTCAACCTGTTAAACATAAGTTTAAACATAAACATAAGCTGAAAGCATTCTGCAGAGACCAGGAAAGTTCACTTCTATGATCATGTGAGATTTGAATAGGCTCTGTTAGCACAGAAGAAGGGGAAGCAGTGCTCCTTCTTCACCACTGTCAAGGCATTTGTGGCCTGCATATGAGCCTTGTACAAATGTGGTGAAGCCTTCTGTGGCCCATGAGGAATCCAGTGAGGAAAATACATTGTTGGATAGCATAGGGATGAAATAATAACTACTTAGTAAACACTTAACAATAATGACTTCACTTCAAAAGTTGCATTAGCTTTGAATTGCTTCTAGAGCAATTCATGATTCTTGAAGAAGAAATGTGATTCTCTATTAAGGTCAGTTAAACTTGTCACATGAATTTTTGCTTTTGCTTTGTTTGTTAAATTCAGTTGGCCTGCAAAAAAGGACATGAATTCTGCAGCAACGCTACCAGGAATAATCCCTAAATTGTTCACTTTGTAAAGAAGAATGTTCCACTAAAATGGCAGGTTGATCAAATCCAGTAGCAGAATTTCACAGAGGTGGTGGAAAATGTCCATCAGCATTTAAACCTTGGCCAGTCTCTGCTGACCTCTTAACTCTGTTCATTACAGCTGAATAGCTTAATAACAGAGTAGTCCCTCACAGGAACAAGCTGGGCTTCTTGTATTCCATGGTAGAGAGATGAATTTAGGAACACCTCAGGGCTGTTACAAAATACATCAGGAAGTTCCAAAGAAGCTTCATTGGTTTTTTTTGTTTGTTTGTTTTGTTTTTTTTGTTTGTTTGTTTTGGTTTGGTTTGGTTTTTTTGCTGAGGAAGACAGATGTATATTTTGGAAAACAAAGCCTTCTAACTTAAATGTACTTAAAATACTTAAAATGTCTTTTTATTTGGCAGGGAGGTGGAAGGGTGGGAAGGAAATGAAAATCTTTTCTTATGTACATCTGGAATTGCCTCTTAACTAGATATACTTCCAAATAAGAGTAAGCCAAGTAAACACCCAGTGGAAAAAATATTTTACAGCTTTGCTATTCCTAGTGGATATTTTCATTGGTTTTATTTATTCAAGTTCTAGTCATATCACTGGCATGGAAGAGATTTCATAAATACTACTGCTCTCTGCAAAGAATTTTCTTTGTGTAAAACTGTGTGAGGTAACTTGTTGAATATCATCATTTGCCAAGGAGTATCAGGCCAAGGGTGGTGACTCTACTAATTTGCTTGTAATCTGCAAACTCAAGTTTAATATATCCTGTGATGTGTAACAGGGCCTAAAATTATAATTCTTCAAAGTTTCCCTTAATTTTCTTCACAATGTGACATTAACAAATCATGTCCCCATAAATGCTGTTAGTTTCTCCCCTGTCTCAAATCCCCTGTTTACTTCTGAAGAGTTCAAAGGTACATAAATACTTTGAGAGTACAGAGAAAAATGATATTGTGCAGCTGTTAAGCAGAAAAGAGAGACAACTGCTGTCTACGAGTTTCTTCCTTTGTGAGGGATATTACATGTTTCTGCTTAGTGTACCCATGTGAAGGAAATGGACACCTTTAAAACATGCAGAGTGAGGACATGTTTTAAATATTAACCTCAAACTTTTCTACCTCAGCCAGGATTCCCATCTGTTTTTTTTTTTCTTCTGTTTGATGCCTTTGCTTCCTGTTTTACTATGAACTTTTCTTTTTCTTCATTCCCACATTTTGTTTATGCAGCTGCCATTGCAGTTACTATTACCACAACCATAATGCTATTAATGTAGAAATCTTCTTCAACTACTATTCTGTTTCTGTAGGATATTAATTCGGAGGAGCAAAGGAAAACACAGTGGCTTTCAACAGTGGTCCTACAATTTTTTTTACAAACTAGTCAATTTGTATCACAATAACATTAATCGCTATGTGTATTTTAGTAGGTATGTTACATTTAAGTGACTTCAAGCTCTTCAGCATTCTTCCAAACTGCCTTTTCTCTGGAAAACAAACAAACAAAAAAAGACATTTCTTTGTAGGTACTGTATGCAGTGGAATAGCTAGCCTGTACCTCTACGTGTATTTCATCTCTGATGTAAATAGATTTCTGTGCCTCTTATCTCCCCTTTTTGTCACTAATGTATTTGTGTATTTCAACAATAACATGGAACATTATAACAAATATTCCACAACTGAACAGTGTATATCTTTAAGCTCTTTAAAATACACTTAATGCAAAAATGACTCAGCTTGTCATTGAGGAAGGATATTTGTAGAACCTGATTAGTATATGACTCATTTTTTCAAGTTCAGTTAAGTAGCATTCACAAAATCAACTTAATGTCTTACCTGTTCAGTATAGAATGTTAAAAATAGCTTCCACATATGTAACTAATATTTTTCTTTCCTCATTCTTCCTTAGTGACATAGAACCACAGAATCTCTAGGGTTGGAAAAGACTACTATGATCATCTAGTCCAACCACCAACACAACCCATCCACTTGGTGGAAGCCAAAAAAAAACAGAAGCAAAAGTGAAATTGTCAACCATGTAAGTGGAGTGGCATATCTGCATACCTTACATATCTGCTGCATCAGTACGAAGACAGATGTTTGAGCCAGTATCTGCAAGAAGGAAACACAGAGAGTTCAAACAATACTATTATTTTCATGATATTTCAGATACGTTGATGTATTGTTCCTTCTTTATTTGGCTTCTGTGGATTCGTTAAATACCAGACTGCAATTGGAAGATTAATTACAGGTGCTAGAAATAATCAGAGGTATTCGTGTACTAACCTACTACAGACTTTGGAACAGAAACACTGTAGGTTTGCAGTGTGTACTCGCTCCATTCTGAAGTACTCAATAATGTAATAGTATTTGCACTCCATCAACATCAGAGAATTCACACAAGAGTGAATGGGAACAAGAAATACAGGGTGTCACAGCCCCACTAGATACGACTTTTCAGGGAACTAGTTGTTTCAATTTTATTCATTTAAAATAGGTACATCTAAGAGTTAAGCATCTGGTCAGGGCTTGTGCTGTCACTGAAAACAGATGTTATTGCACAGTGTGAAGTAGCTGAAGCAAGCCTGTGGGTTTGGAAGCAGTACATCCCACATGGCTTGGAAAGAAGCTGGGGCCACATCCTGCAGTCTTCATGCATCTGATAGCTCCTCTCCTGGGAGCAAGTCTCTACATACTGTGCACAGTCAAAGGTTGCCCTTAGCATTAGCAGAATCTCAGCACCACATAATTCTTCCACATTTGAAACATGCTTTTCCCTGCTAGTTGCATAAAAGAGAATTCACTGTTATCCACTGGAGTGGTTTTGATTTGCATAATAAATCAATCTTATTTGCAGTACAAGATGAAGTTATTAGCTGCATTTACACTGGTGAGGAAAAAGATGGTATCAAGTTTACAACCGTGTAACACCACTAGTGAACTTTTTTGCCTTTATGGGCACAGTTCACAAATTACATATGAGTACAATAATAAAGGTGGGAAGTGAATCACCTCAAACTATGCATTATATTATATTATATGCATCAGACAGGTGTGTATGAATAGTTCTCTAGTTGAGTGGTCAGGTCTGTATTCAATTGCTGTAATCAGTGTACCAGATCTTAGCTAGTAGAATAGACTGGAGGTGGTCATGGCATATAAAGTAACAGTCAACCAGTGAGCAAATATGTTGAATTTAGCAAAGGGTCAGAGTAATTTGGCTGTTATTGCATGACCTTCTGGTTAAAGGTGAGTTAGGAGGTGGATCCCTTAGCAGATCCCTTAAATCACCAATATACTTACTTGTGTTCTTCTTGCATAATAGAGTTTCCATGCACATTAGAACACAGAACTGTAGTTTCTAAGCCAGCTCTCTGTAAAAGCACAAATACAATAAGTGAAGGTATTGTAGTTGCCATAAAGTAAGTTAATTTTGACCTGCTGCTTTTGAGGTAAATTCGATGTCATCATAACTTTGAACTTAATACCAAGTAGATAGACCTCAATTGATTAAATAATTGCCCTGTGTTGCTTCTTCCTCTGCCAATTACTTTTCACATTAAGACACTTTAAAAAAAATAAAAAATAGTGCAGTGAGATATCCTTAGGGACACCTAAAGAGGTTTGATTTAGTTGGTCATTTCTTTTTGAGATTCTTTTGCACATACCAGTTACAACTATTTTTATTTTATTTGCAAAATGTTTTCTAAAGAAACTGCATCTCAGTGGTTCTTTGTATTGTAGCTCTTAGCATGTCAATTTTTCTTTTCATTTTTCTTAGGTGCAGTATTTTCAGTGTCTTCACTGCACTGATCATGGACGTAGTGTACTGAAGGGGAGAAGCATTTTGCATCTGATTTACCACAGCCACTCTTCAGTGAACAGTGTCCTGCAAAATTCACTTTCAGCATTTGGAGAGGTTTAAAAATATATATATATTTTGAACCTAAAAGCACTGAAAGGGCTTCCATAATTTTTTGAAAAATGTAAGACTTTCCTATATCTTTATAGCCAAAATGTCACAGTGCTCAGTTAAATGATATAAAACTGTAAACAACAAAATAAAGATATTAGCAGAACTGAAGGAGGCTGACTTATTTTGATTGCTTAAAGTGGGAGAAATGCAAAATCATTAACCAATGCCATGTAAAGTTAATATGTCAAGTCCTTTCCATTTTCATAATCAATGGGGTTGTTGATTCACTATCATCTGATAGGGAAGATGTAAGATGTTTCTTTAACCTAAAGTAGCTTTCTAAGAGTAAATCCTCTGGGAGGATGCTGTACTCTTCTCTGAGATAATACCATCTTTGGAGGTTTGAACTATCTTAACACTTTTAGGACATGATAGAGAGCTGTGTCAGCCAACAGTACTGAGCCAAAGCCAACAGTCTGTAGTTTGGCTTGAGGAGATTGACTAGCATCCAAAATCAATTTATAAGGTAAGAACAGAACTTGGTTTGATGTTGATGTAGATAGATGTTGATAAAGGAGGTGTCCTGTGTGAGGGGTTTAGGGTCTGCAGCATGACTTAGGAATTAGACTTTATTTGGTTGGTGGGAGTACATTATTTTGAAAGGGTCATGGTGGCTCCAAACTTCTTTTTTTTTTTTCTGGGTTTTAATCTGTGGAAGCTAGAGAGAAAGATGAAAGAAAATTACTGAGTTATACCTTTCATTAAAATATGATTAACTGAAAGCAAAAAGAATAAATAGAAAGGGAAAATAGGGATGTGAAAGGCATAGAATGCAAGAGACATTTTAAGAACTTTGAAACTCAAGCTCTTCACCTCCCTTGCCCAATGTCAGATGTGATCACCAGGAAATCAGGTGATTCCTTGCACGCAAAACATGGAGAGAATGCGATAAATGTGGTCATCATAACTTGGTGGGATTCCTGTCAGCTGATTTAATGCAGATTTACTCCTGATGCAGAAGTGGCCCACAGAAAGGAAAAGTGGTGTTAGTTAGCTTGTTAGTAGCTAGTGAATGTATGCTTATGATAATCGTGTGAATCTGACATACCAAAAATCTCTCCCGTGCAAAGTTACAATTTTGATAGCAACATTAACTTGGCTGCACTGAAGACTAAAGCACAGTTCAGGGTGCAGAAAACACACCATGCTTAACAATTTGATTAGTAATTGAAAAGGAAGTCCTCTAAAGCCTTCTAACATTAGAAAGCATGCACCAGTTGTAGAGTTTTGTCATGTAACAGATCTGCATGTAAGATTCAGCATAATATCTCCAGTGAGACTACTATACACCTCAAATAGCAAACCACAGCTTCTATTAAACGTAATTGCTTCTCCCACCAGTACAGTAGTGTAGTTCAATACAGAACAAAAGCTGTTTTCTCACTTTTAAGTAATCCCACCACAGCCTGCATGGGTAAGATGTGACTGGGAAACAAGCAGAGTTAATAACGGAGGAGGATTCTAAGGATGAAAAAAGCACTATGTTTTTCCAAAGAAAGAGACTGAATCAAATAGGAAGTAAACTGATCTACAGGGAAATACTTTGCTAGAGGTCAGTGCTTCATGATAGTTCTCAGAAGAGGCAGAGCTGGGTGGGAAACCTTGGAAAACAAGGGTGCATTGAGTTACGTGTATTCAAACTTAGACAAGATACCTTCCTTATGATATTTTAATGCATTTCACAAAGGAAGGTATCGTTATACGTGGGAAAAATGTGATCCTAAAAGAGAAAACTGAATAAGCTCTGGCACTAATACAATAGAATCACTGTGAGAAAAGCAATAAAGTGTGTACAACTGTGGCAATTATATTTTACGGTCAGGAAAAGAAACTGCCAAATATCTACTATGAGAAGAAACTATGAGCATAGCTTTAAACATTTCTGTTCTGAGGAGATTTACGTGTGATTTTGGTATTAAAAAAAAAAAAAGCAAACAAATAAGAAAGCAACAAAGAAACAAAACAACAACAAACACAACCTGATATCAGAACTGAGTTAGAGAGTTATTGAAAGTTACTTAAGAAACAGACAACATGTCTAAAATCATAAAGGACCCACAGAAAATTTTGGAAGACTTAATTTCACCTTGGGGAAAGAAGGGTATAGGGTTGAAATATTTCAGTTTAGATGAAGCAAAAAGCCCAGATGGGATACTTTATGGATTCTTTAAGAAGTGACAAGTGATCCGTTGGGTGATAGGGCAAAATAACTTAAAATGTTTTTCAGGAAACTGACTTTTTTTCAGACAGTATAAGAAAAGAAGAAAGATGCATCTGGAAAATACTTCCATTCTACTCCATGGCTATGTATCTGAAGGAGATACTTGCAGGAGGAGAGGCAGCATTTGAGCTGGTACCACGAGAGTTAGTCAGCGGAGGGAACCCAGCTCTCTATAGCACAGTCATAGAATTGTAGAATGGCTTGAGTTGGATGGGACCTCAAAGATCATTTAGTTCCAACTTCCTGCTGGTTAGATAAATAGCATACTGAAACTTTCTCTCTATTGACTGGAAAGGGAGTTCAGAGTGAAAAGATTGGATAAAAACCTTGTACTTGTTTAGAAAAGTCCAAAGTTAGATCAAATGAATCCAATCAGAGGTACCAATAATTCCCTTGGATGCAATGTGACTGGGCTCAGTGTAAGGAGCTCAAGAGGCTAAGCTGGATTTCACAGGTAAACAAACACAAATGTGCACAAAAGTGAGAAGAAATAGCACCAACAGAGCTGCAGCTATCACACAATGTACCCTTAGCACTGCCTTCAAGGGAGGTGTAGTACCATCCTGGGAAAACCGGTCAGCAGAAAAATTACCCTGCTCATTCAAGTGAGTTATAAGGCAGCATTAAGAGTTTCTTCAGCCTATTACACCACACGTTTGTCTGTGATGTTGGGAATGAGAAAAAGGTCACCTCTGCAAATCTGCTCTTACTCTTCATCACTTGCATGGCAGCTGCACCTAAGGGCAGATGGTAACCAGAGGCCACCCTTGCCTGGGCAGCTCATTGTCCAAGTCTGTGAAACAAGGCAGCCCAGTGCCAACTGCCCTATAAGATTTCAAAACTCTGTACACTAACCTTGGTTCTTATATCTCACTGTACTTTGGTGCTCACATCAAAACAGGCAGCAGGTGTGTTGGTAATTCTCAGTGTTGAGCTCTCCCCAAAGCTTCTGTTCAGCTTTTCAAACACAACGTTCTGGGAAAAGACAAGACAACAAGATTTGTAATTATGTAAGATGCTGCTCTTAATAAAAACAACAGCCTGTGGTTGAGCAGAACAATGTGTTGATGGATAGACAGCTCACTGCTTTCATTTCCTCCTCAGTCTCTGAGCACCATTGATGCTGCTGAGTTTTAAACAAAAACATGTACAGAAAAGGGTTATCAAGAGATTATTTAAACACTCCATGTAATCGATCAGATCTCTTTTACCACCTGCTGGAGCCGATTTTGGACCCACCACACTACCCTCTTTCATCTCAGCAGTGTCCCTGCACACATGCTGTTGCAGGACCACCCCAGGAGAGCAACCTGATGGAGAAAAGCCAGAAGGCCCCCAACAAGCAGCTTCCCAGCCAAACAGCCTTGGTGGCATGTTAGCATCCCGCTGTGTAGCTATTTGACAACAATCAGTTGCTTACAGGTGGTGATTTCAGCTGTGAATTGTGACTAACCATGTAGTTTCCTCAGCCTGTGTAGGAGGAAGGTGTTGCTGATGCTGATTGCAGCAGCTGGGTTGGGATGGAGAATTCTAACTCTTTGAGAGGTGAGAAGGGGAGTTATCCTGTGTTCCTCTTGGTGCTGCAGTTTCCCTCTGCAGATATACTACCAGAGTGCAATGTGTCAGTGTGGAGTCACAGCAAGGATATCTGTGGTCATGTTTCTTACTCATATGTGCATGAAGAGGAGCAGCAGTTTCTAGTTATTTGTTTAGCAAATGGATGACCAGGATGATTCAAACACAGGGACACAGCTTTTCCCTATTTGTGTATTTAATCCTAAATCCCTTGCTAAGAAATGGGCAATCTATGTCTGCTCAGTACTTCCAACCAAGAGGCAGCAATCAGAGCTTCAGTACATACACTGTAATTAAATTGGTCTGGTCTGTATGCCCCAAAATGCTGGGAATTGCTGCTTAATCATTAGTTCTGGGAGAAAGGAAGCAGACCCAATGGGAAGTGGAAGCAGTAACCAGTATATGTGACACTGTATGAAAACATTACAATTTAAAATGAAAGGCAGCCTTTCCAGGTAGCTTTCACTGTGCTTTTGCAAATGTAATCTGATCACATATTTAGAACAGCTATTTTCAGTTGAGACCCCTATGAACTGTACTGTTAGTTAACATACTTGGCACAGTTTAGCAATGGAAAATATTTCTTATCTGATTTGGCTGCATTTGTAAGTGAAAAACATGTAAAATGTATTTTGTCTTTCAAAACCTCTTTGCTTTACAGTTATCACATTCATAAAATATCAGAAAAATAGCCTGTGAACATCAATGCAACTGTCTCTGTAATTCTTTTGTAAACATTTTATGTATAAATAGCAATGTATTTTACATGTGTAATCTAGCCTTGTATAACTAGAGTGTGGGTTTGTTTTTTTTTGGGTTTTTTTTTTTTTTTTTCAGTAGTATAAACAATCTTAAATGTCTCGGGATGTACTCAAAGCTCTGCCATTCAGCCATGAAGGCAGAGATGGACACATCAGCAACAGGCTGTAGAAGACAGATTTATATGTAATATCGGTGTTTCCATACAACTCTTAGAAGAATAAAGAAAGGAAAATCAATCCCATATAAAAGCATGAGCTTTATATATATATATATATATATATATATATATATATGTATTTACAAACTGGTTCTAGAGATGTTTAGACCAGAATTGTTTGGAATTATCTGAGAAAATAAATTGTCAAGGAGGTTCTTCATTAAGAGGGCACTTCTAATATATCTAAATTGCAGATTGTCACATAAAATCATATATGTCACTTTGGAAAAGGGTATTGAAATGGTATTGAGTGATTCCAGAGGACACTGTGAGATCATTCTGTGCTGACAACATATGTCTTGAGAATAAAGGTCTTACCTGAATAGGATCGTCCAATTCCTAAAGCCTCTTCTCCTTTGCACCGTGCCTTTTTAAATATGTATTAGAGTATTTTAGCCATTTCTTACCCATAGTCCCTTCAATAACAGAAGATTTTGTGAAAGAAAAGATTCTTTAACATTCTTTTTCAGTGTTGGAGAAAAGGCTGGCTGCACAGAGCTGGCTTGAAAATAGAGGAAAAATGGCCTTTTTCCATTATTGAATCATTTTGGGTTGACTTTGAAAAACGACTTATCTGAATACACTTGAGAATAAAATCTTGTCAGTATTTTAAATTGATTATGAATTATGTGTATTTCTGAGCAAAATTTTCAGAAGTGTTTGGAAAAAAATACTTTCAGAATTTACAACTCAGTTCTTATCATTTTTTTTCACATTTAACTGTCTGTTTTATTCAAAGGTCCAAAAAAAATGTTAAACAAAAACCAGAACTTCATTACTTCATCTTGATGGATGGTAACTGTTCAGTCTGAGAACTAGATACCTCTGTCCTAATAACTGCAGTCTGAAGAATGTTTCTTGATAAAACTACGAAGAGATTTGTTGACATTGTTGCCATAAGCCATAACTGTGGTTCATCACCCTCCTTATACTTTTCTGCAGTCCTTAGTAAGTATATTTATAAATTCATTCTTTACTTATTACTATTACATACTGCTCAGTGTTTTCTTTATTTTCATGACATATGTAAATCCCTCAACCTCTGCATTAATTTTAAAGTCAGCAATGGAAAGGGAACCTTTGTGTTTACATTAGCATGAACAATTTCACTCAGAATGATCATTTCTTTTAAATCTGCTCTGCAAACCTGAAAACTTAAGTAGCCCAAGATAAAATGGCATGCTTTATGGAGCATAATTTTCTCTACTGCATTCAGAGACTAACCTAGCAGTTTATAAGAACTAAAGAATATCTTGTTATTTCACTTGTGAAATCCTACTTTGCAACACCGTGACAGGTAGGTGATCCTTCAGGTCCTGGGGCTGAAAACAGCAGGCACAGAGTGAAAGAAAGCTGCGGCACTCTTTGTGCCTCTTCAGGATTCCTCCTGCCCTTTGAGATGATTTTGTGGCACCTGGTTTTCTGAATCCTGATATCAATGATGGGCAAAAAGAGATGAATAGATTATTTCATACAGATCATTGACCAGATGATGATGGATCCAAAGTGTTAGATGTTGGTTCAGTTGGCAGATGGAGCTGGAGTAGAGCTATCAATCTAGGTATAAAAACTCTTCACAAAAGCCAGTTGGGTTGGCCATCTCGTATTTTTTCAATAGAAATTGGAGGGTGAGGTCAAAAACCTGTGTTTGTCAAATACATTATTGAGAGCAATTGGTTGTAATAAAGACAGGAAGCATGTTGTTTTTTTGTTTTTTGTTTTCTTTTTTTTTTATGGAGAAAGGCAGAAGTGATTTTATGTATTAAGGGTGGAAAAAATCATCCTATTAGATTCAGAGACTAACTTTGTAATGTATGCACTTAACACTACACATTCACTTCTCTAAACATCCTCAAAAGATAGAACATTAATTCTCCCCAGCTGACATCTGTTAGCTGATTTATCCTTTCATTGGCCTAATGTTTACGAATATCAGGGAGTGAACAAAAAATATATAAAAAACACGCCATCTCCAAACCTAAAGTTTCACCAGATGGGTTTCATTTTCAGATTACCAAGTTGTGACAGTCAAATGTCCTGAAATTGATATGAATCCTGAGATTAACTTGCAGGGTTCTGCTGTCATTATAAACCCCTATGTGCATGTTCTCAGGGTGTTCACTGCAAAGTCAATCATGATGATCCTTGTACTTGTTCTCAGACCATCTGTTATATATGCATATATATTACTCCAAAGATTCAGAGTATTATAGAGTAAGATGGGAAAACACTTGTAGAAAATAAATGTATAAAGACTTCTGTTGCCACTCTCTGTCATACCTCCCACAAACTAGTTTCAGTTTGTACCAAATTTTTCTCCCTCTGAACTTCTGTGCTTCTACTTCTCTGCATGTACTCTCTCATCTATTAGCTGCTTTTATTAGTGAAAATGTCTGTGTTGGGAGATGGAGTCTCACAACCCAGCCGGTATTAAGCAGTCTAGATGCTCACTATGCTTTGCAGTTACAACTCCCTTGCCTATTGCATCAGATTGCAGGTTGAACTATTGACTTTGAATTCATCCTTTTGGTATCTACCTCCTTCACTGGCCTTGTGAGTTTTTTTCAGATGGACACCTATCTAATTTGAACAGTTCAGGATCCTCTGGTGCACTTAAACAGTGAACATTTCACAGGCGATTTGGAGACATGGCCCTTATTTTAACAGGTGTGAAATATGGCATTTGCTCCCTGGTCAGAGCTCTCTCTCTTCTTCCCTCTCCCTGCTTTTCCTCCTTCTTTTCTTTCTCCTCCTTAACCTTGAAAATGCTTTTATCTTCCCGTTTAATCTGCCTCACTTCTTTGTAGAGAAAAAACGACAACTTATAAAAGTCACAAGTGAAATAAAGGGTTGTGAATCCTATTACATGTCTTTGTAATTAAAGTTTGATTATTGTTCCAGTGCTGCCCTCATAAAAGGCTGTGTAAATACAGATGGATGGGAAGACAAACCAATACAGAGCTCTCATTGTTATAAGTATATCAGTAGCAGGAATACAGAGATAACTTCTTCTCTCCGGGTTAGGGGCAATGTAGGCTAGATTCCTCAGAACCCAGAGTTAAACAAAGACACTAAGGAAGCACTGAAACGAAGGAAACACCAATTTCTTCATACTTAGGCTAGCTAACGCTTTTGCTCATCACAGTTTTCCACACAATGGTTTTCCATCCTTCCAGGTGCTGAGAGTAACAAACATGAACTAGACAAAGGTGATGGGGCAGCTGTGCTCTTTGTGAGACTGGGACAGAGCCTCTCAAAGACAGAGCAATATAAAGGTGTGTCCATCACTGAACCCAACATGTCTGTGGTTTTTTATCTGCCTGTTGTTGACAGCTCTCCTGCCGCTGCTTGCATTTAGCAGCAGCATTCCTTCTCCAAGCTGGCTTCAGCATAGCATGGTGGGGAGGTGAACCTGTGGATGTTGTGGCTCACTTTTGTTGAAGCTGAGAGCCTCTGCCCTTCAGCCATGGGTGTGTTTGTGGCTTGGGCAGGCATTCCCCAGCAATCTTTAATGTAGCTAGATTGGTTACTGACATCAGTTCATCCACCTCAGCCTGAAGCACAGTGGAGGCCCACAGTGGACACCCAGGCATCTGGCCCACTGGTTTTTCAGCCTCACGAGATGCAGCATCGAGCTCTTGGCGTGCAGGGCTGGTCCTGGGGCAGGCTGGTGGGCGCTGCCCCACATCCACACCAGCACAGCTTGCCACACACCTGGCTGTCAGATTTTGTGTGTTTTTCTCCATTAGTTTTGTCAATCCAGCTTGTCATTTACTGTGATCTTCCAATCATTCTGCTAATTCGGCAGAA